AGTGGCTGCACATGATGGGTCCTTTTCCATTCACACTTGAGCTAGATTTCTCCACTTACATGAAGTTAACTGTGCTGAGTCTTTGTTGGGGGAACAGCTTTTATTTTTGTGCCTAGAGGTGTAATATTTTTTAATTTTCAAAAGCTGTGCTATAGCTTGGTCATGAGTTGTTATTCCAAAATTAGACTATTTTTTATGCCTCTGGTTCTGGTTTGCATGGTGGACTTGGGCCCGAGCAGGTAGAGGAGTTGCACCAGATCAGTGCTAGCAGTGCCTCTGCCCTGCCTGAGGTCCCAGCTCAATAGAGGGATCCTTAGAGGCCCTCCTGTGACATCCAGGCCACTCTTATGGAGGGAACTTGAGTCTGCTCTTTGGCAGCCTCTGCCACCAGTAGGGCGTCTCAGGGGTAAGGAGTGGCCTTCAAGTCAGCCGAGCTCTTCATGGACCCGAGCCTCAGTTTCCTCCTTCAGGAGTAAAAGACTGGGAGGGCCTGCCTAGCTCAGTCCGTAGATCATGTGACTCTAGATCTCAGGGTTGTGAGTTCAAGCCCCATGTTGGCCAGAGAACTTACTTTAAAAAAAAGCGGGGAGAGCACCTGGGTAGCTCAGTATGTGAGGGTCTGACTTTGGTTCAGGTCACGATCCCATGGTTTGTGGATTCAAGCCCCGCATCAGGCTTGCTGCTGTCAGTGCAAAGCCCACTTCCAACCATCTGTCCCTCTCTCTCTCTGCCCCTGCTTGATCGCTTGCTCTCAAAAAATAAATAAATCTAAAAAAAAAAAAAAAGCCGCAAGGATTAAATGAGGTAATACACACAAAGCACCCAGCACAATGCAGAGAGAGGGAGACACATAATCTGAAGCAAGCTCCAGGCTCCGAGCTGTCAGCAGCTGTCAGCTTATCCGAGTGAGCCACCCAGGCGCCCCCCCGCCAAAAAAAAACTTCTGGATGCCAAGTTTTTTTTTTTTTTTTTGAAACTCACATGGGTGGTGGCCTTCAGAGTCTCCACAACCTCCTTGGTAATAAACGTATGATCATGTGTGTGTAAACCACTTGTTCCTGGGCACTTCTTCTGGATGCAGCTGGCCCCTCCACTGGGGGGCAATATGGCTTCTCAGGTGCTGCAAGGGCCTTGGCTGGCTGCTTCTGGTGGGGCGACAAGTGTTCTCTTCCTAGTTTTGCGAGAGTATCTTTGGGGCTAGAATCCTGGGAGTGGGATGGCTGGGTCAGAGGGTCCACACACATGTAGCCCTCTCACCTTGCCCTTGGCAGTTTGTATGCCTCTCATTCCCACCAGCAGCACGTGATAGCACCTGTGAGAACAGAGCACCCACGGCACGTTGTAGCCAGACTGTGAGATGGGTGCCCATGTGCTAAGCAAGACACGGTGTTTCAGGATTGTTTTTATTTTATCACATTATGAGCAAGGTTGAGCATCTTTTGATATGTTTAAAAGGCTATTTGCATTTCTTTATGAATCTGGATTTTATTTTTATTAAAAAAATGTTTTTAACGTTTATTTATTTTTGAGAGATAAAGCACAAGCAGGGGAGGGGCAGAGAGAGGGAGACACAGAATCCGAAGCAGGCTCTAGGCTGCAAGCTGTCAGCAGAGAGCCCGACCCGGGGCTCCAACCCACGAACCATGAGACGATGACCTGAGCTGAGGTTGGACGCTTAGCCGACTGAGCCACCCAGGTGCCCCGATCGGGTTTTTATTTTTAGAAACTATGTATTAACCATTTGCATAATACAAGTCCCAATATATTTTCCCAGCTTGTAATTTATATTTTTACTTTGCTAATGGTGGCTTTTCCCCCGATGTACAAGTTTTTTTGTTTTTAATTTCAACGTAGTCAAATCTATCACTCTTCTCCCGTGCTATATCTGGATTTTGAATGAGGAGGGTTTTCCTCATTCCCGGGTTCACAGTAATCCCCTCATTTTCCATTTTCTTCTAGTTCTTGGATGGTTTCCTTCTTCCAGGAGCTCCAGCTCCACTTGGTGAAGGTCCATTTTTCCCTCTTGGTTGGTGATGCCCCCATTATGGTGCCCCGAGTTTCCACAGGCACTTGGACCTGCTTCTGGATTTTCAGTTCTGTTTCGTTGGTCTATGTATACAAGGGTCAGCTCTCCCCACTCAACCCAAACCATTCTTCATTTTCAGCATTTTCCTGTCCCCCCCCCCCCCCGCCCCCCACTCTGGCTTGTTTTTCCAAATGATTTTGGTAATAAGAACAGTGTCTAATGACAAAGGCAAATGTCCAGGAAAGAATGTTAAGGGAAACCGCAGTCAACAGAACCACACAGCATATATACATACTTTCTTCCTCTCCTGTAAGATATTGTAAGAGAAAAAAAAAAAAACCAAACCAAAGTGTTTGTGTGGTCACATGCAGCATCGCCTCACTGCCAGCACAAACCTTTGGTGGAGGGAAGGGTGCCTCTTGTCCCTTCTTCCTCACTTCCTCCTGTGCCACTCTGGAGATCTTGTCACCCCTCTGGGCCATGGCACTTCTTTATAAGAGAGGGAGTGCATCACTGTGGGGTGGAGCCTGGGGTATGGCCTCTGCCACCTATGGCTGGACAGAGCATCTTTGGCTGATCCCCAGCCCAGCCAGTCCCTTCCAGCCTAGATCTGGAAGGAAAGACTCTGCTGGAGCAGGCTGCAAAGGGACTTGAGGGGACTGGAAGAGGGCGGAGGGGCCACCTCCGAGGGAGGGGACAGCCCTGAGGCGCCCTGCCCCGCCCACAGCCCTCACAATGGCAGCTGGCCCAGTATTACAAGCCCGCCGGCAGGAGGCTAGCAACGGCCTGGAAGCCGGGAGGGCGGCGGCTTCCTCCAGGGACAGGTCGCTTTGTCTGCAGACCTACTTACAGCAACCCCCGTGGCAGAGGACTGGTTTCCTGGGGGATGGAAAAGCTCCACGCGGCCGGGTGGTCTCGAGCTGGAGACGCGCGGGGAGCAGCAGTGCGGCGGGGGGCTAGGGCAGCCTGCTCCGCCCGGGCGCCCAGGTGCTGCAGGGTCCTGCGGCCAGGCTTCCAGGAGATGGAATACTCTGTGAGCACCGAGCAGCTGCTCCTCTTCTTCCTGGCTATCTGGTTCTTCTACTTCTTCTAAGTGGCCCTCCCTCCCGTTGCCCCTGGGGCTGGCGGGCCACAGCAGGAGCGAGCTGGCCCAGTCCCTGTTCAAGGGCGCAGAGTGGCCAAGGGCTGGGGCCTCAGCCCCACAGGGAGGACAGCCAGGACGCAAGGCCGCACTGCCCCTTGGAGATGAATATTTGGGGCCCAGGGGCCCAGGGGCCCAGGGCTGCGCACCACAAACGGGCTTGGCGTCGAGTAAATGATACAGGAAAGGGGAAGACGGGCGCCCCACAGAACCTGCGGTCTGCGAGGGGGCAGCGGGCCTCATCAAGGCTTTGCGGTCCTGCATCTAGACCTGCATCTAGCTGACTAGAGTCCGAGTCAACTCCGTGTTTACTGGTTAGCTGCTTTGTGCCTGGCCCCTGGCTCTGCTGAGAAATAAACTGCCCTCTGAGCCTGGTTGGCGGCAGGTGAGATGTTATTCCCGTTTTCTAGGGGCGAGGAACTGCCCAGCTGGCCGTGCCTAGTGCCGTTTCTGGCAAGGCTGGTGAAAGACAAATGTCCTTTTGGGGGGCGCTTTAGAGTAAGATAAAGGGGCACCTGGCTGGTTCAGCCGATAGAGCATGTGACTCTGGATCGTGGGGTCGTGACTTCAAGCCCCGTGTTGGGTGTAGAGCTTAAAAAAACAAGTAAGATAAAAATGAATGCATCTCCAAGGATGTGGGTGTGGCTCCACCTGGTCACAGGACAGGAACTGTCCACCCCAGCAGCTCCCATGGCTGGTTTCCTACCAGAGCCTCCTGGGGCGCAGAAGCTCTTTTCAAATGCAGATCACCAGGCCCCTCCGCTAGAGGGAGAAAACTCTGCCCCCATCTGGATGTGCCTTATGTAGACCCCACCCGGGAAGGGGCTTCCTCTGGCTCCCTGGGGTGGGGCTCACAGGACGCCCCCCAGAGAGAAGGGCTCCTGAGTAGTGAACCTGCTTCAGGTTGGCTGCTCCCCTGAGGCCACCACAGGCTGAGGGCAGCCATCCCCCCACCCCCAGCAGTGCTTTTGCTCCGAATGCTGGGGCTTTTCTTAGAACACAAGCAAGGAGGGTAAGGCCAGGCCATTTGAAGCCAAAGAGCAGCTCAGAGGAAAGGCCAGCAGTGCAGACTCTGAAGTCTCAGGTGAGGCTGTGTCAAGGGAAGGAATTTCCTTTGAGGAGCACAAATACCCCCGGAATCTCTAACCCCACCCCCAGATCTCTAAATTCCCGGGACTCAAGAATCTGAGTTTTTAATCAGCTCCCATCTTCCCGGGGTCACTCCCTGGGGTCCCCCTGGAGCATGAGCTGCAGGCCTGTGGGAGGGGAGGGGAGCAGGTGGCTGGGATTTCTGGGCAGCTTATGGCCCTGAGGACTCAAGGTGAACTCCCTCCTGACATCCTCCAGGGCACGGGGAACAGCCTGGTGCATTTTCTCACTGCAGTCCTTCCAGGGAGTAGAACCTCTTCCACACAGTAAACAGTTGTAGGAATACATACGTTCCCTCTGGGACGCCACAGAACTGAATTTTGAATGAAAACAATGCAGCCTATAAACAAGCACTTTTCCCAGAATGGGCCCTGTGCAGAAAAGCTCTGTTCTCAGAGGGCAGTGCACAGGCTCTGCCAAGATGAGGGAAGCGTGTGCCACACCGGCCCAAGGGAGGGTGCCCAACCCACCCTGCGTGCACACCCACGTGCAAACCCTCACACATGCCAAGCATCGAAAACATGACTTCTCGCCCCTTCAGGCCATTGACCTGAATTGCAGCCAGACGGGGTTGCACTGACTGCTCGAGGCTGCCCTATGATGGTCCCACTTTGTGTGGGTGCCGGTGGGGACAGGAGTATGACGACACTGACAGGCACTCTGTCAGGAGGAAGTCCACAGAGGACAGACGTCAACCATCGCTTTATTAAGGCTCAGAGTCGTCTGCCAGTCGGGGGCTGAGTCACTCACCGCAGACTCCAGCCACGGAACACTCTAGGTGACCCCACGGGCGGAGGCTGTCCTTGAGCTCTCAAGCCATGGTCTCTCATGCTCCACTCGGGTCCATCCTGCAGGGCTGGGGTGTGTGTGCAGACAACTCAGGGGGCCCTTGGCAGGGTGGGGCTGGCTCTAACAGGCCCTGGGCTCTGGCAGGGGGGTGGCAGGGAGGCACAGGAGGGCAGGGATACATCCCCTATCCCTCCCAGCCCAAACTATGGCTTTGTTACCCTATTGCCACTTGAGCAGGAGTGGAGCGCCCCTCCCCTGTGCTCTGGACCGGGTGCTACACTCTGGAAGGAGGCAAAGGGAAAGCCCCTGGGGAGGAAAGGGCCCCTCTGTGCTTGGGATTTGGCCTGACTTCAGGGGATCGTGCCGCCCAACCCCACACACACACTCCCTCAGCTCCTCCCATCGACAGGTCTTCTCAGGTTGGGGCCGGTCACTCAGAAGTGGACACGCAGCACGTCCTGGCTGGCAAATGGCCTCTGGCAGGCTGTGCACGTCATGGGCAGGGAGCGCTGCTTCTCACCCAGGCAGGGCCGGCATAGGAGGTGGCCACAGGGGAGCTGGTACACAGGCTCCTTTTTGAAGTAGGGAGAAAACGCTCTTTTGCAGGAGGCACACTCGGGCCCCGGGATGCTCCCAGGCTGCTCTGGTAGATCAGGGAGGAAAATAGGCCAAGGTGAGGCGAAAGCTGTCCCCTGGTCCAGGCTCCGTCCTGATGGCAGGGCATGAGCCTGAAGTGGGACAAGAAGCTTCCCCACCCTCCACCCCTTCAGCGGCATGGCTTTATCCCTCCTGGGGCCACTTCTGGCTGCTCTGGGAGGAGAGGGTGTTGGGGAGCCAGGACACCTGGGAGACCTCCCCTCAATCATCAAATCTTGGTGCTCCAGTGAGTGCCCAAGAAAAGCTGGCTTCTGAAGGCAAGCAGACCGCACTGAGCCCTCCCTCCCAGTCTCTGAGCAGGATTTGCTTCCCCCTGGAACAGGCTGCTACGGTCAGAGTGAGGCACAAGCTCATCCTGATAACATAAACTACAAGAAAGGCAAGACGACTCAAGAAAGGAGACAGCAGACAGTGAGCAGGTGTAGCAGGGCTGGGCAGGTCCAAGGAGGAGGGAGGGCACCACGTGGGCAGGCCTGAGGTCTGAGTTACCCACTGAGCCTGGCACCTGCTTCTTCTCTTCAGCCTGGCAGCCCCTCCTGACCTGTCAATCCCCTTCCTGTGCGGCAGGCTCCCTCTTTCCCTGCTTCCCGCAGGGCCTCCCTGAATGAGGGCCGCAGTGGCCACGTCCTGCCACTGCCTCCCCAAGCTGCACCTGCTGCGCTTCCTTCTCTTGTGGCCCTAGCCTAAGGAGGCTGCTTTGTCCCCACTCCACACCCCTCTGGAGAGGGCAAGGGTGGTCTCTTAGGGGAAAAAAAGAGGCCGACCATGCAGAATGAGAGGGACAGCAAGTACAAAGAATGGTTGGTCCAAAACCAAACCAAAGCAAAAAAAAAAAAAAAAAAAAAAAAAGGAATGGCTGGTCCATTAAAGAAAGACAGGACACAGAGCTGTGATGGCGGAGACTGGCTTCAGGTGAGGCTACAAAGGGGGCAGGCTGGGGTGCGCAGGACTTCACCAGCGGCAGGGGCTTAGACTTTGTTCCAGGATCAGTGGGATGCCCTGGGAGGAGTCTAAGAAGTGAAGTGCCATGCGCTGGTGGACATTACAGGTGAGAGTGGCTGTGCGGGAGCAGCAGGGCTGCTGAAAGAGACAGGGAGGGGCTGGGGAGGGGACAGCACAGGGGACAGGGTGGCAGCAGAGTGCTCGGAGATCCCCTTTGGAAGAGTACGTACAGGACTTGAGGATGAATGGACGTCAGGAAGGCTGAAGGACACCAAGGACAATCTCCACGTTACAGGCCTGACCCAAGAGAAGATGCTGCTCTTTACTAGCAATGGGGTGATGGGGCGTGTCTGCAGTTCTGAGTTAGAACTTCACTCAACATCTATCCAGGGGTTTCCCACGTGGAGGTGCCAGGCAGCTGTCAGGGAGGTCAGGGTCTGAGTTCCAAGGAGAGGAAGGAGCCACAGGGGGGAGCATGGGCAGTCACTGGCCAGTGGGTTCTCTCTGGGATGGCAGGGCAGAGAAGAGTTTGCAGGACCAGAGTCTGGAAGAGGAGTCCGAAGTGGAAATTGCAAAGGGACAGTGAAAAGAGGGAGAAAAAGAGCGCAGGATCCGAAAGGCCGAGAGAGAAGGGGTTTCAGGAAGGAGGGGCTGGCAAGCCGCATCAGACACTGCTGGGAGGGGAAGGGAGAGCAGCCACTGCATCTGGAGCCGTGGAAACCACCGGTCACCTGGACGAGAAGGTTCTGGTGATGGTCAGGATGGAAACAAGAGAAACAGGGAGGTGTGGATGAGAAGAAGAGGAGGTAAGAATGGGCTGGCTCTGGATGGGCAACAAGAATTGAGCATACACCTTATCACGGGCTCCTTCAGGCTTCATCTTGTAAAAATTGCCTACATTCCAGCATGTTCTCTCACCTGTATCCTAACTGATTCTATCATCTAATGTGGTCCCAGGTTCACTGTGGGCAAAAACTGCCTCAGTCAAAAGCTGCTACAGCTCTATTCTAAACACCAGTGAAACTGTTAACAGGAAGGGACGAAGGAGACAACCCCCAAGCTTCTCTCCACACTTCCTTAAAATAAACTGCCCAGCTGTCAGATAGGAGACAGACTGGATCTGAAAACTAACCAAAGGAGGGGAAACAAAAGTCCAGGACAGAACAATTAATATTAGATCTTACCAAAAACACTGCAGAGTTGCCAAGCCCTAAAAGTCCACAGAATTACCAAGAGTTAACTAGAGAAAGCTCTCCTTGTGAAGAGTTAAACTTCACAGGAGCCCCTCAGCTCCCCCTGGAAAAGGAAAGAGACAGAGTTCTCCCTGAGGCCCGGGTGCTGGCTGCTGGCGCTAAGGAGGTTGGGCATGGCAGTCCCAGGAGCCCCAGAGGCAGGGCCCAGGCTTCTGCTCCCGGGCTCTGGCGAGACGGATGGGGCCCCAGTTACCCGAGGCGGCGCCTGGCCTCCAGGAGGCACTGCTCTCTCTTGTGCCGAGCTGTTGGAGCTGTCCCCGGGTCAGCCGAGCCGTGAAGGAGGGCATGGAGCCAAGAGTCGATGTCAAGGCAACTTCCAAGCTCTGTGACAGCTTCTGCTCGTGGGACACGGGACCTGACAAGAGATGCACAGACCACGATATCCAGAGAGAGGTTCAGCAAAAAACACCAAGCAATAAGTCCTTGGAGGACCACAAGAACGGTACTTCTAACTTCAAATGGACGCAGATGTAAAGAAACTCCTCCCTGACGTCTGCTAGTGGATTGTGATGATGGAGTACCAGCAGTCAAAGCCTTAGGGACGTTCCTACCCATCCCACACCACTTTCAGGGTTTCTGGGCCAGCTCTAGCTTTCCTCCTCCTGGAAAGATTTCTGGGCAGGCCTGGGCCACCTTGTGGCTCATTTGCAGAACTGCACCCTACTTTCAGAAGGTCTCCTTGCAGGCCAAGGAGGTGCCCACCATTGTGCCCCTGCTCCCTGTCCATTCCCTCGCCAGCAGCTTTTCCTCATCTCCTCTCTTCTGGGGCCCCCACCCTCCCCGCTCTGCGGGTTTGCTGGCCTGCACTCTCTCGGCATTTGCGTCCTCTCTCTCCTGCTGAGTAAAGCAAAGTGGTCATTACCAAGTAGAATGACAAAGACCTCACTCTGCCCACTCCACTATCTAAGGGACCTTCTCTGTGTGGTTCACAGAAAGCCAAGCAGTAGGCTGAGGGTGAAGGCAATGGGAGAGTGAGACAGTTGTCTAAGAAAGAACCCAGAGACCTGCCTGGTATCAGGGTTCACAAAACTGCCCCAAAGTAGGGAGTAGAACATTTTGTCTACAGTGTGCAGGACTTGCTTGGGGCCTTGAAGCACAGGTCAGCATGGTCCTATATCACCAACAAACCTGACCTTACAGACATCAGGGTCTAAGGACCTTTCTTTGTCTCACCCCACTGCACTTCAGATGCTTCCAGGAGTTTCCAGGGGTCATGTTGACTAAAATCTATACTCAAAACCAGAGAAGACACAGATGTAACCTTTAAGTGCACTATTTGCATAGGGCTTTTACAGTAAGAGAGGATATTACAAGAATGATAAAATCTAAACAGATTTATTTTCATAAGGAAAAAGAAAGTGTCAAAGAGTTATCTCCAAAAGCACCAGGCACTAACAATCACGGGCAAATTCTACCAAATATGGAAAGAGGAAATTATTCTAATACTCTTACATTGTTCTAAAGTTGAGTACAGGAAAATGTCTTAATTCTTCTTATGGAGCACACAAATCTTTGGTAACAAAACATGACCAGAGATGGTATGTGTATATGACAGTTCAAATTATTTATCCAAAATAAAACGCTAGCAAACAGAACCAAGCAGAACATTAAAAGAAGCATGACCAAATGAAGTTTATTCCAGGAATGTAATAACGGATGAATATTAAGAAGCCTATTAATGTATTTTTTCACACTAAAAGATCTAAGGATGAAAAATCATAGTACCATCTCCACTGATATTGAAAAGGCATTAGACAAAATTCAACCACCAATCTTAGATAAAAACACTGAATTAAAAACATTTAAAAACATGACTGAATAAAATAGGAATCAAAGGTGTGGGAGAGTGTCTGAAATGGCTCCCAATGAGACCCACCTCCAGAGACTCATGCTGTAGGGTACCCCCTTCCCCTTGAGTGTGGGCCAGACTTAGTGACTTTCTTCTAACAGAATAAAGCAAAAATGAAGGGATGCCACTTCCACAATTAGGTAATATAAGACTATGACTTCCATCTTGTGCTTACACAGCTACCGTGTTATGTGCTGCCCTTGAGAGGCCCATGTGGCAAGGAACTGAGGACAGACTGAGTCTGCTGGCCACCAGCCAAGACCAGCCAACAGGGAAGAGAGGCCCTCGGAACAATAGTTCGGCCAGGAACCGAATCCTGTAACAATCACAGGAATGAGCTTACAAGTGAATGCTTCCCCAGTCAAGCCATGAAGCAGCTGCAGCCCCAGCCAACACTTTGACAGCAGCTGGAGAAGACCCCGCAGCAGGTGACCCAGCCGAACTATCCTGGCTTCCTGACCAGAGAAGCTATGAGATAATGAATGTGTGGTGCTTTAAGCCAGTAAGTTTTGGGATAACTTAAGACGGCAAAACATAAAGCACAGGGCAATAGTGCCACGTGTCACCTGGGAAGCACAGGGAGGGCAGCGGACATGGAAGCAGGGCATGGATTACCTGTTGAGCAGTCCATATGTGTCAGCCCAAGTTCACTGGCAGCTTTCATTTTCTTAGCGGTGTGCTCTGAGGTAGTGGGTGAGACCAGAAGGCTTGTGGTAGAAAAACAGGAAGCGTTTGCCCCAAGGCTACTGTCCGGGGCATGTTCAGTCTGCTCCATCTTCCTTTTCCGAGAGGGCAGAGCAATGGAAGAAGGTGTCACTGCCAATGCAGTCTGTGCTCTCCCAAGCAGATGGCAGCCCGGAATGGAGTGCTGGAGCAGGAAATGGTCGATCCGGGCCTTCAGGGAGGGGTGAGGCAGGGGCTGGGAGTGTGGAGTAAAGGCTACCCCCGTGAAAGGGTCACTGGGCACTCGGCCCCAGGCGGCTTCGCTGCGGTTACACTTTTCCAGCGTGCTCTGGTCGATGACCTTGCCTGAAGGCAGCAGCATGGGGCAAGGCATGATCTCCAGGGTGATGGGATCCAGGAACTCCTCAGGCACATCCTGAATCACCTCGGCTAGCTCCTGCAGGCTGGAGGGGGCCTGCAGGCCCTCAGACAGGCTTCCGGGATCACAGTCACTCTCCATGGGCAAGGCTGGGGCCTGCAGAGTCAAGTCCTGAGGGAGGCTCTCTGAGGCAACCAGCAGGACACTGTCTATCACCTCCTGAGAGCAGGTTTTAGCTGGCTGACCCCACACTTCCAATCGCTTGATGCAAGGGATACCGCTGCCTGTCACGTGGGTGATACAGATCTTGAGATGGACCACGTGGCTAAGGGAAAGAGCCCCTTTATTCCAGAGCTCCTGTGCCACAACAGCAGGAGAGGGGAGTGTGGCGTCCATTGGGCCAAAAGGTGGCCTGGCCTTGAAGCCCCTGTGACTAAACACCACTTGGCTCTGGTTTTTCAATAAGACTTTGCCTACTAAGGTGAACGCCTCCTTGTCTGGGATGGACGGCTCGGCGGGGCCCGGGGTCCGACACTCGGGGGCATTCCAAGATGCTCTGCTGGATAAGGCAGATGTGTACATTTCCAGGCCGGTGACATTCTGGCCTCCCCCAGCTGTGAGGTCTATGTTAATCCTACAGATTTCCACACTGAAGGGAAAGGAAACTATCACGTAGACTGGTGGCTTAATGAAATACTCTGTCCTAAAACCATGACTTCTCTTTGTCAGGTCTTCAGAGATGAGATTTTCTACTTCATAACCATCAGCTGATATCTAGAGTTAATGACAAATAAGACACGCATTCACTTGATGAGATCCAAATGAAGACACCTAGATTTCAAGAATTTGCTACTTTTTAGACAATTATTTAAAGAAAGTCTTAAGTTCCTCATTTAAACTTTCCTCTATTATACTGAATTCACCAGGGTTTTTTTGCGGGGAGGCACTCAAGGTTATCAGGTCAAGGGTTGAGGGCAACCGTGTCCCCAAGTACTGCCCATCCTTGAAAAATACAAGCAACAGAAGTCTGCTCAATCCAAACAAAAATCCCTTCAAAATAATGTCTGTGAGAAAAAAGTACAGCTTATACTAGTGTTTTTTTATTGTAGAGGATGAAACCACAGAGATTTAGGGGAAAACAAAGATGTTCGTTACAGTTCTTAATTTTGTATTTGGACTCTATCAGTTATTAAATTTCCATGGCAATCTTCTTGTGGACAGTCTTCTTGTGAATCTATGACTGAGGGAACTTGGTCAAAAACAAAAGTGTGGGGGCACCTGGGTGGTTCAGTCAGTTAAGCATCTGACCCCTGATATCAGTTCAAGTCATGATCTCATTGTCATGAGATCGAGCCCCACATCAGGCTCTACACCGAGCATGGAGCCTGCTTGGGATTCTCTCTCTTCTCTCTCTGCCCATCCCCTGCTCATGCTTTCTCTCTTTCTCAAAATAAATACACATAAAAAAAAAAAAAAAAAAGTGTGTTCACCAACAAGGACCACAAAAGACTACACGAAATCTAGAGCAGTGAATATGCTAGGGGGTGGGATTGTGAGTAACTTCTCCTCCTCTTAATATTCCTAATATTTGTTATAACCAGTGGAAATTTTAAGATACAGGTATGCCTCCCTCTTTCTGAAAGGTCCTATCACACCACTTTGCTTTTACATAAGACCTATATTAGCACCTGTATTTGCTAACCAAAAGAAATCCAAAGAGAATTTTTACTTTTACGAAAACATGTTTTGGTATCACACTAATGTAGATCTCTTGTAAATGAACTTCCGGAAGGCAGTGGATATTCATTTTACGCCATTTCAGCCTGCGAAAGGTTTCATAAGAATGTTCTTTTCAGATGGCGGAGGAAGCCTGTGTCTCTGTTCAAAGACATCAGGCTAGCAATCTGGGAACCTGAAACAGCATGCTGTGTGCAGAAGCTCAAAATTAAAGGACGGCTCAATTCTCTTTTTGCAGTTTCCTTACTCCTTGCTCCGGGCTGTGGAAAGATAACCTCCTTTGCACAAAAGGCAAAGCAACTTAGTTCAAATAAAGAAGAAGGAATCCAAATAACAAATACAAGTCATTATTTCTAGCATGAGAAGTAAGCGAGAGGAATACTGGGGGAGACAGTATTTCTACCTTCGCTGTGACTTTGAGTAGAATTAAATTTTATCATCAGAGGGAGGAGCACAATGAACACGACCCTCCAGAAAATGAGCCACAGCTCCCCTTGTAACAGTGCTGCATGATTCTAGGGGTACATCCTGGCCAATGCTTACCTAAATATCACCTGGTGGGATTTAAAACAATGAAGGTGAAAGCACATTACACCTAAATTAAGTCCACATACACAAGGCAAGACATGGGGAAAAGCATGAAAAATAGCCATTGCATATTTATGTGCATATACTTGTTTTGTTTACCTTGTTGCAGTAAATTCTTGGTCTGAACTGTGGGAGGCAAAGATTTATGACCATCTTTGTGGCTGAAAGGGTAGCTTCCAAGCATCAGAAATAGCCTTGAATAAAAAATAAAGCTTGATATTAGACATGTCAAAGTTCAATTCTAAACTTTTAGGAGTTGATTCCTACGGGAAAAGAATCAAACAGGGTAACAAAGACTCTCACGCACACGGCCATGGTCTATACAGTCTCACTGTATCGTACCTGTGATGCCGGGGAAAAGGAGTCACCAAGAAATTGCACAGGAGCTTCTTTTTTTTTTCTTTATGTATTTAAGTAATCTGTACACCCACCGTGGGGCTCAAATTCACCACCCCGAGATCAACAGATGCACACTCTTCCAACTGACACGGCCGGGTGCCCCCATAGAGGAGCCTTCTCCTGCAGCCTGAGCAGGTTGGCCAAGACTGCGGGTCCTCTGGCTGACAGCTGGACCCAGTGGAAGCAACAGCTCTGCAAGGCGCTCCCCACAGGAAAAGGAGGGTCAGAAGTGGCAGAGCTCAGAGAAAGAACAGAACTACTCAGCCAGAGGGTTTAGAACGGAAGAGGTTGCAGAAATCATAGTAGTACTAGGCATCTTTGTCATTTAACGCCTGTCAATTTTTTTCTTTTAAAGTTTATTTATTTATTTACTTATGAGAGAGAGAGAGTGAGCATGAGCACACATGTGAGCAGGGGAGGGGCAGGGAGAGGTAGAGAGAACCCCAAGCAGGCTCCGCACTGTTAGTGCAGACCCTGACACGGGGCTCAAACCCACAAACCATGAGATCATGACCTGAGCTGAAACCGAGAGTTGGACGCTTAACTGACTGAGCCACCCAGGCGCCCTGTGATTGCATTTTCTTATTAATATGAAAACAACTGGAAGAGTCCAAAATATCATCATTGAGAAACAGAAATCCCAGACTTGGAAAGCATCTTAAAAGGACATCTAATCCAAACAACATTTTAACGACCAACGTCCAGGCTGGGGGAAATGGGTGAAGGTGGTCAAAACGTACCAACATGTAGTTATAGAAGTTCTTTAAAAAAGATTTTTTTTAGGGGTGCCTGGGTGGCTCAGTCAGTTAAGCGTCTGACTTCGTCTGGTCATGACCTCAGAGTCTGTGAGTTCGAGCCCTGCGTCAGGCTCTGTGCTGACAGCCTGGAGTCTGGGGCCTGCTTCGGATTCTGTGTCTCCCTCTCTCTCTGACCCTCCCCCATTCATGCTCTGTTTCTCTCTGTCTCAAACATAAACAAACATTAAAAAAAAAACTTACAAGCAAATTTTTTTAGTGTTTATTTTTAAGAGAGACAGAGAGCGTGAGCGTGAGAGGGGCAGAGAGAGAGGGAGACACAGAATCCAAAGGAGGCCCCAGGCTCCGAGCTGTCAGAGCCCGATGCGGGGTTTGAACCGACAAACCGTGATATCATGACCCGAGCCGAAGTCGGACGCTTAACCAACTGAGCCACCCAGGTGCCCCTGTAGTTGTAAGTTCTGAGGAGGTGATGTACAGCATGGTGACTACAGTTAACAATACTGCGGTGTATATTTGAGAGCTGCTGAGAGTAGACCTTAAAAGTTCTCATCACAAGAAAATAAGCTGTAACTACGTGAGGTGATAGATGTTAACTTACTATAGTAAGCATTATGTAATATATACAAATACTGAATCATTATGTGGTACATCTTAAACTTATTCAATGTGATATGTCAATTAATAGCTCAATAAAACTGGAAGAAAAGCAAAGATCAATGTCCAACAGCCTTTGGTAGTCTTTGTAGAGAAGTAGGGAAGCCACCAGAAATATCTCTCCTGCCAGCAGCCCTTGCCAATGGCTCTGAACCTCTTGGGTGAGGCCAGCCAGCCAGTCTATGCTTTTCCATCTGGCAGAGAAGGCCATGAAAAACTCTTTTGTTAGCCCAACAGGGAAAGGGTCACCCTCTGGGGTCTGTGTTATCATGATTAATAGGTGCCACATGGAGGCCAGGCACATTTGGCATCGTGCAACATTTTAGCAGGCTGTTTCTGCACAGTGAAGGTCTGCCATGGGACCTTTAAGTGTTTATTACGTCAGCCTCGCCCCAACTCAGAGTTTTACATATAGACACAAAATATTTTTTTAACATGGTTTTAATACATGCTAATTTCCTAAAAAGGGAACTTCTATGCAGATCACAGGAAGATTATACTTTATTTTGTTCAGATCAGATTTTTACAAAGAGATATTGACCGTTTCTGACAACCGCATCACCAAGAGTGATGCTAATACATCTGACAGTCTACACTTGTAGCAGTCCGCATTCTAGGTGATTCTACATATTAGTAATAGCTTCTGATAACTTCATTATGCCTTCCAATATGGTCATAACCAAATATTTACACATGAGAATAAATTTTATTATCACACTTAAAAACCTCCTTTATATTACAGTTATAGCATTTGTATGTATATGAATGTGTACATACCTGTACACACATACCTGCACACACACATGTTGTTTTTTAAAAAGTAATGCATATGTTTATATATATTTTTTTAACTTTGTTTTAATGTTTATTTTGAGAGAGAGACAGACAGACAGACAACAAGCGGGGAGAGACAGAGAGAGAGGGAGACACAGAATCTGAAGCTGAGTGGTCAGCACAGAGCCTGATGCAGGACTCGAACTCAAGAGCTGCGAGATCATGACCTGAGCTGAAGTCGGATGCTTAACCGAGGGAGCCATCCAGACGCCCCTGTATTATTTTTGACTGTAAGTTCAGGACAATAGAAAGAACATTACAAGATAATTATAAAACTAGAAGAAAAACAAAGATCAATGAACCTGATGAGATGAACCTGATGGAGTGGAGACCCTTGGCCTAAAGTCTCCTGTTCTTTGTGAATCTGTGTTGAAATTCTTAGTACTTCTCACTGTTTGAGGTATATATGCCACCCCTCTGTCAGAATATTCTAGAATCTGGTCTGGAATCAACATGGACTAGTTTACAGAATTCTCTTTTTTTCCCCCAGGGAAAATGTCTCCAGCTTCTGATATTTTTCTTGTTCTCCACAATAACTCAAAAATGAATGCATGAGGAATTGCATCTGCAAATATTCTCAGGGCCCTTGTATGTACCTCTTCTTGGCCAGGAAACCAGAGCACATTCAGAGAAGCAATGCCCTCAATTCTCCTGTCCAACTAGGGAAGTGGCTTCTTATTAAGTTTTTGTTTTGTTTTAAATGCACAATTAAGCCATTAACTGAATATGGAAGTAGTAACATGAATATAAAGCTCGTACCTAGGAAACAAAATATTTCTCCTGGAAAAGCAAGCCTATGATGCCAAAGGAAAACAGAGGATAGTGACACAGATGGTGACACAAAAGAGGTGTGCAAGTGCAGAACTGGGCTGGCCCTGAGCAAAGGGCGAGCTCAGCCACTCGGGTCCAGGTTCGAGAAGCTTTGCTTGCACTGCTGCAGGCAGCCCTCTCCTCCCAACTTTGTCCTGATGGGTCGGACAGGGCTTTGGTAAGAACAAGCAAAGAGGGGCGCCTGGGTGGCTCAGTCGGTTGGGTGTCCGACTTTGGCTCGGGTCATGATTTCATGGTTCATGGGTTCATGCCCCACGTCAGGCTCTGCGCTGACAGCTCAGAGCCTGCAGCCTGCTTCAGATTCTGTCTTCGGCTCTCTCTGCCCCTCCCCTGCTTGTGCCCTGTCTCTAAAATAAATAAATATTTAAAAATTAAAAAAAAAAAAAAGCAAAGAGACAGAAATTGTGTTACACTGTGTTATAACATGAGCATACTGAGAGGTGGTTGACAGTGAGATAAAGGGCCCCTAGAGTGCCATCACCTCCACTCCACTGTCCACTCCTTAGGCCTTTTCTCCCTCCAACTTTCAGGGACAAAAACAAACTGGCAGAGTAATAATGTCAGCTCCTGGAAGTGTTGATTTCCCAGTGGGAGGCACTGATTTCACTAACATTTACCTGCCTATTTCCTTGTTATCTTCTTGGACATTTCACACTGCAGTCTTCTAACTTTGATTTATTCTACATATCATGAAATTAATCTGAGAACTTAAATGCCGGAACCAGAACAAGTTGGGTAGGGGTCCTCCTCAAGCCATGATGAAGGGCTCACCTGTGAGTATGAAGCCAAATAGAAAAGTTTTCAAAATTATCTGAGGACCCAACTCAATTGTAAATGGCAGTGTGAGATGAAATTGACCAGAAGTGACCACCCTCAGGACCAGCCTGCACTTTGCCTTTAACCCCGGCTCAGCTCTCACCAGATGCCTGCTCCTGTGGAGGGACTGGAGATGAGAGGACGAGTCCAGGATGAGAGGATCTCATCTCTCCAGGATGAGAGGACGAGTCCAAGGGCTTTCAAACTCCAGTCATCTCATAACTTTAAAAATCCCACCTCTGACCCCTGAAAGGGGAAGAACTGGACTGTCCCTCCAATCAATATGATAATTTACAAGGTTTTATCTGCACTCTCAGCCAACACAAATGATTCCCAGTGAGTTAAGACACAAGGACCCTCTAGCAGCAAAACAACTCCAGCTAGAAAGGCACATACATAAAATGGCTTAGAGGAGGCCACCAGAAATTTCATTCCATTTTAATCTTGCCCACTGGTTAGCCCTAAAGTGGTTACTAAGATCTTTCTTTTGCAGATGAAGAAACTGTGGCTTAAAGAGAGGTTAAGCTGGGACTGAGATTCCAAACCTTCCAAACAAACTCTGGTTACTATCTATTTGGACACCATTTACCTTGAAGGACTTACCAGGGACTTACATGGACACCTTACAACTTATTTCCCCCCTCTTACTTAGGTTAGGCTTTGGTATCATTCATTTTTTTTTTTTTTTAATTCTCCCAAACTTAACGTGCCTATGCTCTAAATGTAGAAATTTGGAAACCTTGACTGTCCCTTCCAACATGTATTGGATCAAGCCTCAAACTGTTTTGTGAGGAAAATCTAGATAAGCTAGCCCTCTATTCGAGCATATTACCTCATGAGGGTTTTCAACCTTTCCAAGAGGTTGTTAATTCCATTAGCCAATCATTAAAGCATCTGACCAGACACAGCCTGTTTGTTCGACGCAGCACTTACCAGAATCTAATCTGAGAGAATATTTATGGAGACTGTTCAGTCCATCCACATTAAATTCCTTGTCATGCCAGCTTAAGTGGCACCTCTTGCTTCCTGCCTGGCACCCCTGGTGGCTGCTGCATTCATGTCCCACATCACCATCTGACAGACTGCTTAGGAGTGTGGACCCTCAGCCGTAGCAAAGATAAATGTAACACATGATGAAAATGTAGTGGCCTATCTGCCAAAATTCACAGGATACCAGGGTGGCAATGACACTTCAGCGGGGAACCATAATTTACTGTCTATACTGTACTTCCCCATTGAGCTGCTCTTCAGGGCAGTGTACTGGATCATCCTCATGTTCAAATCCCAGACACAACCTTCACCACACTCCTCACCCCACCACAAAGAGCTTTACCAACTACTTCCATGTGGCCCATCAGCAGGGAAGGGAACACCTCTAGGGGCACCTGGGAGGCTCTGTCATCGGTTAAGCCTCGGACTTCGGCTCAGGTCATGATCTCACAGTTTGTGAGTTCAAGCCCCACACTGGGCTCTCTGCTGTCAGTGTGGAGCCTGCTTGGGATCCTTGTCTCCTTCTCTCTGCTCCTACCCCACCCCCAAAATAAATAAACATTAATAATTTTTAAAAATGAAATACCTCTATGGCTGCCGTTTTATTAAGTTGTTAAGATGATCACTCTTTACTCTGCATAGTAACCTCTCTTTAAGACCCATGAGAAAATTCTCTTTTTGGTTTCAGTACTAGGAACAGTTTTTTTTTTTTTTTTCAACTCAATATTATATGGTGTGAATATGAATCATATAATTGATTATGATGTTTCTTTTATTTTGGCCACTAGAAAACTCAGAATAAACCTGTGGCCCATCCCTCCAGATTTCTCTTTGCCTGAATTCTTCACTTATTTTTATGTCATAGTGTAAATATATTGTGAAAGCTACCTTAAAATCATTATGGAACAAGAGAGAGTAAAATTACCAACAAACCATTCTTTTGGTGGACATTTAGGTTGCTGGCAAGTTTTTACTATTAGAATATTAAGATAAAAATCTTAAGTCGATTTTTTTGTCTTAGTACGATTTTGACTTTTTTTTTCTATGTTTCTTTTTGAGAGAGAAAGGGAGACACAGAATCTGAAGGAGGCTCCAGGCTCTGAGCCATCAGCACAGAGCCCAACGTGGGGCTCGAACCTATGAACAGTGAGATCAGACCTGAGTTGAAGTCAGATACTCAACCAACTGAGCCACCCAGGCACCCCTGACTTTTTTCTTAAGAGGTCGTGCATGCTTCTTGTGAAGGTGGCTATTTATTAACAGGATCCTTTTATCCCATAAGTTTTCATAACCAGTTTGCTATATATAGGAAACTTTTTCATTTGGGTATCCATTATGTGTTCAGTTGGCTTATTAAACCAATTGATTTTAACAGATTTTCAGTCGGGGTTTTTTGCGGGGAGGGTCTACAGTCTCAATAATGACAGCCTCCTTCTCAAAATGGTAACTCTTACTTGTCTCTCATCTTACGACATTAGCTAGAACTTCCAGAATTATATGAAATAATAAGAGCTGCCATGCTTGTTTTTGTTCCCATTAGAAAATGCTTCCAGTGTATCATCTTTGAAATAATGCTGATTGAAATATTCTTTTTATGCTAATAAAGCATGCTAATTTTCAGAGTTTTTTGAAAATCAGGGATAGGCTTTGAATTCTGAATTTCTCTATATATTGAGTTTTATTATTTTTCTTATCTGACAGACTAATGAGAGATGGCACATTTTTCTAATTTTAAACCATCTTTTTATTCCTAGGATAGGCTCTATGTGGTTGTGGCAGATTGTTCTTTAAATGTTTTTCAAATTCTACTGAATTTGATTGCTCATATTTAATTTTAGACAAGATATTACTGCCCATTCATATACACTTATAAGCCTGGTACTACGCACTGGAGTATGAGATAACAATTAAATGGTCAGGGGATGCGTGGGTGGCTCAACCGGTTAAGTGTCTGGGCTCAGGGCATGATCCCACAGTTCGTGAGATGAAGCCTGAGTCAAGCTCTGCGCTGGCAGCACGGAGCCTGCTTGGGATTCTCTCTCTCCCTCTCTTTCTGCCCCCTCCCCTGCTCCCGAGCATGCTCGCGCGCTCTCTCTCTCTCTCTCTGAACATTTAAAGAAAAACTTAGACAATGAAATGGTCAAGTGGGGAAACTATTCTGTATGATATCGTAATGGTAGATATGTGACATTACACATCTGTCAAAATCCACAGAACCATACAACTGAATGATCCTTAATGTAAATTATGAACTTCAGTTAATAATAATGTATCAATATAGGCTCACCAATTGTAACAAAAGTGCCATGCTAATGCAAGATGTTACTAACAGTAGAAACTGGGTGCAAGGTAGAGGAAGTATATGAGAACTCTCTGTATTATATGCTTGATTTTTCTGTACACCTAAAACCACTCTAAAAAAATAAAGCCTATTAATAAGAAGAATGGGGGGAAATGTGACTGAAACAAATGAAGAATGGAGATCAAATTGAAACAAGGTACTGTGCCATGTAAGAAGAGTGGCAGACCCTTTTTAAAACATCTTACAAATGATAGTATGTTTCTTTGGGAAATAGTGATGTCCAAATACTGTAGGATTCTATAGGGCTCTGGCTTCCATAAAGGTCTTGTGTGATCTTAGCACCTCTCTGGTTCCCACACTCCTGACCTTTTAAGGTCAAGTGCCTCCAGCCTTAATGCTTAATCTGGAAAAAAAGAATGGCTCAACTTACTGAAAATGCAGACAGCCTCACCCAGGAAGGGTGACAGCCCTGCCTGGGAAATGACAGGTTACATGATGAACTCTCACAAAAACTTATTTACTTATAAATTTACTCCAGTAAATACTTAAAAATGAGAGCCTCCTTTTCCAAATTTGGCATCTCAGTACAAGAGAGACTGGGTCTGAGTAAAACCTAGGGGCCATGCATTATGGCTAAACTGCCCTGCTGTTCAGAGAAGTAGCCTGGAGCCAGACAACAGAGGTATTTATAAGACAGCAAGATAATACAGGTTTATAAGCAGATAATATACATGTAAATTCTATGGCTGGCTCAGTCAGTAGAGCATGTGATTCCTAACCTCAGGATCGTGAGTTCGAGCCCCATGTTGGGTGTAGAGCTCACATACATACATACATATATACATACATCTATCTATCTTTTAAAATGGGATGCCTGGCTGGCTTAGTCAGTAAAGAATGTGACCCTTGATCTTGGGGTTGAGTTTGAGCCCCATGTTGGGTATAAATATCACTTAAAAATAAAATCTTATGGGGTGCCTGGGTGGCTCAGTTGGTTAAGCATCCGACCTTTGATTTCAGCTCAGGTCATGATCTGGTGGCTCATGGGTTCAAGACCCACATGGGGCTGTGCATTGACAGTGCGGAGCTGGCTTGGGATTTTCTCTCCTCTCCTCTCTCTGCCCCTACCCTGTTTGTGCTCTCTCAAAATAAATAAACTTTAAAAATTAAAAAATAAAATAAAATGTGTAAAAAAAAAACCATACAAGTCAATTTTCATTACAGTGATTTTTTTTCTTTTTTTAAACAAAATATTTCAGATTAAAAAGGTAAAGACTATAGTAAACACTCTTATACCCACCACCTAGATTTAGTAAATGTAAACATTTTGCCACATTTGCTTCTCATTTCAGTGTTAAGAACAAACTTGAAAAGATACAGAGGTGCCTGGGTGGCTCAGTTGGTTGAGCGTCCAACTCTTTTTTTTTTTTTTTTAATTGTTTAAAATGTTTGTTTATTTTTGAGAGAGAGACAGAGTGCAAGCTGGGGAGGGGCAGAGAGAGGGAGACACAGAATCTGAAGCAGGCTCCAGGCTCTGAGCTGTCAGCACAGAGCCCAATGTGGGGCTCAAACCCACAAACTGTAAGATCATGACCTGAGCTGAAGTTGGACGCTCAACCGACTGAGCCACCCAGACACCCCTATTGAGCATCCAAGTCTTGATTTAGGCTCAGGTCATGGTCTCATGGCCAAGTCTGCATCAGGCTCTGCACTGATCATGGAACCTGCTTAAAGATTCTTTCTCTCCCTCTGCCCCTACCCCACTGGAGCTTGCACTTACCACAGCTCTCTCTTAAAAAAAAAAAAAAAAAAGATACAAACAAAAGCCACCACTAATCCTATTTCCTCTCCTTTTTTTTTACCAAGAGATAAGCTCTATCTGAAGTTCCGTGTCTCTCATTCAAATCAGCATTGGTATGCAGTAGTCTTGTATATTTTTACCGTACCTTAAGGGTATTATAACAGGCACACCATGTCACGACTGGGTTTCCATTCAGCATGATTCATCCAAGGTTTTCCATGCTCAAATGTGGATTTCTAGTTTACTCACAGCATTCGACTGCATGACTAAAACAGCTTGCTTCTCCATTGCTCTATTACCTATGTTGTTTGTAATTTTTCACTATGAAAAAATACTGCAATAAATATTCTCTACAAGTCTTGTGAAAGCAAATGAAAGAAGAGAAGGAAAAGAAAAAAATAAACGAAATGGTCCTGTCCTCAAGTCTTGAGGCACGATGGACCTCCTTCCAACAGTGATTGTGGAACGTAAGAGTCTATAACAGAGCTCTCTGCAAATGACATTCAGAGTAGGAAGGATGGTCTAAGTGAATGCTTTTCAGTTTGTGGTTTTGAAATCAAGTTATGGGTTGAAGGAAAGAAATATTAACTGAAAGAGAATATAAAACATCAAAGTGCACATAATATGGAAATTATTTCATGAAACTTTTTTTTAAATGTTTATTTCTGAGAGAGAGAGAGAGGTAGCAGCAGAGGGGGAAGAAGGGGAGACAGAGAGAGAGAGAGAGAGAAAATGAATCCCAAGCAGAGCAGATCCCAACTCAGGGCTCAAACCCACAAACCACAGGATCATGACCTAAGCCACCCAGGTGCCCCTCATGAAACTTTAAGATTTTTAACTAATCTCTATACCCAAAGTAGGGATTGAACTCACAACCCCAAGATCAAGAGTTGCACGCTCCACCAACTGGGCCAGCCTGGCACCCCTACCTTCGTGAAACTTTGCTTCAGTTTTATACAAATACATATAACAAATTATATACTAGATCCAATATAAAATTTCTTATTGTGGCTTTTGATGAAAAAAAAAAGTAAGAATACTGGCCAAAAGTATACCCAGAATTCAGGGAAGAATTCACAGAAGTAATGTCTGAATTGGAGACAGCTAAGACACATGCCTGACCTCATGACAACTCTGAGATGGGACAGATGCTACATACTAATCGTACATTGGACAACATGTGCTGGACTATGGGAGCCAGGAGGTAAGAACTGGAACAACAGGGGAAGGACACTAGGGAGAGGGACCTGTAGCAGCAAAGGCATAGAGATGGGACTGTGAGACTGGTTTAGAAAATGTGGAATATGCCGCTCAGCTAGAAG